CACTGAGAAATTGATAAAATATTCATTTTCAAACTGAGTGTACTCAGTTATGCTGAGCACTGTAAAATAAACTTTAACATTGCTTAAATACTTTACAAAATGACAGTAGAATCACAACACTCACTTTCATTCACTATCCTTTGACTTCTGATTTATAAGGGGCCACCACAGTGGAATGATCCACCAATTACTCTTTCATTTGTTTTTTGTGACAGAGGCCCTTACAGCCGCAGAACCAGAACAAACTGGTCAAAATAATACAAATAAAAGCACTCTTTGTCTCAATAAACAAACCACAAATCACTTTCTATATCTTTAATTCGTCATAAAGCTTTTTCCCAAAAAGCAGAAGCGTGACAAAACAAAGTTAATATAATACATTTGCTATCTACATTCACTAATTCTGTTCTAAAGTGTTTTATGGCATCAGAATAATCCACTTCATTGACACAAATAAGTACTGAATGTAGGTTTCAGATGCTTTAGACACTAAAACTCATCCTTTGCAAAAAAATAAAAAGTAAATAAATAACAAGCATGAAAAGATGAACTGGGTTTCAAAAATCACAAAATTCTAAAACTTTTGACAGCGGACTACAAAAAAGCCAATCAATCATTAGTGAACAGAATTTTCAGTTTCTGTTTTTTTAAGTGCAGGGTTAAATTCAGGATCTAGAAGTGAAAATCACATTCATTTTCATAGCAGAACAGATTTTGAACATTAGATTTTGAACTCCAATGTAAAAACTATATTTACCAGAAGTCTGTAGATCTTAAACCAATCAGAATAATGTAAGTCACATTGCAATAAAAATGCTACGCGATATGTAATTTTTCAAATTACTTCAATATTTATATGTATGATATGCATGTTTTGCAAACAAAAACAATTTTTCCTTGTCATTTACAAGACCAAATGGGCTTGTTGTTCTTTCCCACCAAGCAATTTTGTGTTTAAAATGTGTAAACCAGGGATGTGCAAACTTGTTCCCAGACGGCCAGTGTCCTGCATATTTTAGTTCCAACCCCAATTAAACATACCAGAACCAGCTAACCAAGCTCTTTCTCGGTGTACTAGAAACTTCCAGGGAGGTGTGTTGATGAAAGTTGGAGCTAAACTATGAATTCACCGGCCCTTCAGGACCGAGTTTGGACACTGCTGGTCTAAACACTAGATGCCTAGTAGACAATTTAGACGGACTTTAGATGTGTAGTCATATATTCCTGTCAATTTGATGACTAGCATATTTTTGCATTTTTGTTACATATCTATTAGATTTTCATGGGCAGCCAAAGTTGGTTTTAGCCAAGACATCTATATTTAGACATTTATTAGACATCTAATAAACAAACCAAACCAAATCTGACACTATTGTGTTTGCGTGTTTTCAAATATAATTTTCTGCAAAAAATTATTTCAACCCGGGCTCATTGTGGAAACGTAGCCCCGCGGACGTTTCTGCGGACCGCGATTTACGTCCCGGGAGGTACGTATTCGAGCGGTTTTTTTGTTTTCGCGGATAGGCCGCTGTGCGCGCTTTTTCCCATCTCGGGTGGGCGCCTCTCGGGAGCGCGCGGCGTTCGCGCCTGCGCCGTTCTCGCGCGAATAGCCGCCAGATCGGAAAAAAAAAAAAAGCAAAAGCCCCCGTCTTCGATTTCGACCGCGTTTTCGGATCCCGCCGCTTTCTCGCCCTTATTTTCCGGATTCCGTTTTTCGTCTTACCTGATTTCCGGAACCTGCCATTCCCCGGACTCGATCCTGGTCGTCGTCCACCGTGGCCGGCTCCGGCTCGTCCTCTTCCTCCGGGGCCTCCGCTCCGCCGATGCAACGTTGTGAGCTAGGCGGACAAACTGATTGAGTCGGGAAAGCCCTCCACTCGGAGGCGAGCCGTCAGCCGGCGAGCACGAAGAGGAGGGGCGGTGTGGCGCCACACCGCCCCGCGGCGTTCGCTCGAAAAAAAAACTAACGGGGCCTTTACGTACCTCCGGCCACGTAAATCGCAGTCTCCAGAAACGTCCGCGGGGCTACGTTTCCAGAATGAGCTTGTGTTGAATTATTTTGTGATCCACTTTGCTTGACTTTGTTCACCACTAATAACTCTTAAAATAGCCATATAATTCTTATTATTATTATTATTATTATTATTTGTATATGTGTATATAGTAGTTCTTCTAATAAACAATATTTCTGTGCACTTCACTATTTAGTAAAACATAATCTACCACAACCTTCGCTTCCCCCTAAGAAATGACCGTCTTTACTTCCTGGTCAGATGGAATTTCTTCAGGGCGGGGCTATCAGTGCTTGTCTAGTTTTTGGCTTGCTTTCGTCCATTCGTCAATCTTTCATCAATTCGTCAATGCCCGTCTTTCAACAATCCAGCTGGTTCCCAAAGAACTAAGCACCGCCCTACATGTTTTCCCACATTTCATGACCATTTCAAGTGAATGTATTATGCCGACTTGAGTTGTCTCCAAACAACTCCCTTTGAAAGTGTGCTAAAATAACAGCACTCAACACTAATGTGCACTAGAAGGTGAATGGTTGTTTATAGAGTGTTCTGGATTCAACAGTGAAGACGTTAGTCGAAAAGTGACATTATAATTTAGGTTCTAGTGTTTAGGACAGAAACTTAAAGGTGCAGTAGGTGGTTGGCTTCAGAAACATTTTTTTGTTGTGCTGGTTGAAAGTGTCTTCACATTCCAATAGTAATGATTAAACTAATAGACCTAAATGTATTTATATGTATTTTTATATTCTGGGTAAGGCATAAAACAAAAAAAAAAGTTCATCCAATTAAATATTGTCAGACAGATAATTTCAATTATTCTGATAAGTAGCCCAAACTGTCTGTCAACAAATGTAGATTTGTACAACTGCGCATCTGTTCACGCAGATCCACCATTTGCACGTACATGTGTGCATGTGTGGCGCGCATTCATGTGCAAACAAGAGACACATCTGTAAAATCAAATGCTGAATCAAAACTTTTTAAAATCAATATTGGAGTTAGGTTTGCATGCTGGAGGGAGGACGACACCATGGCTGAAGTATTTCTTTTAGACAGGTAAAGCTGATGTAGATTGTGTTGTATCATGAATAGGTTATATGCACAGAAGTGATGTTATGAAACCAGTGTGTACTGATATCTTCCGGCGAAAGATTGATGTGTCTATTTTTAATTTTATAAGGGACCTATTACTGCATCCATAATGTAAATTTCTTTTGATTATTTAACCACAAAACATCAGTAAACAGGGCTATTCTGCCTAGCCTGCTTTACTGAGCTGAAGTTGGTTTCATATTCACATTGGTTAATTTTTGAACAATGACAACCTGTGACACGTTCCCTACATTGTTTTACATGCTACTTTGAATATTAGGTCTGAAATAGCATGAAAGTATGCAGGGCCGGAGTGGGACTCCTTTTCAGCCCTGGAGTTTCAAGCCTCAGACCAGCCCATGACTGACTATATTAAAATAAGGTCATTTCCAATTCAGTTTCTAATTACACTATCACGTCTTTTTTTGAGAAAACAGCTGCTTTAGAACTTCAAATGTTCAACAACCCTAACAGTATTATATGTCTTAACAATAAAAATTAAAATAATAAATTACTCAGACAATGATCAAACCCAGGTCGGTGGCATCATAACCTAACGTGCTAACCCTTGAACCACAACAGCTGTACATTGAGAGGTGACTCATCTGAGTTATATCATCATTAACCTGCAGGCTGCATCATGCCCACGAAGCTGCGAGAAAATAGACAAAAAGAGCAGAGCTTGTAAAATAATGAATAAGAAGATTGTGGTCAAGTAAATAAATAAATTCATTTTAAAAGTGTGACTGCTGAGAGCAACAGATTTTGGAGCTAGGGACACCGGCCCTTGCGGCCAAAAAACGGACCGGCCCACCGGGAATTCCCCCGATCCTCCTGATTAGCCAATCCGGGCCTGATTGGCTTAGTAAAAAGTGTAATTTTTGCACACAGCCGGCCAACCACTACTCATACAGTTGTAGCTTAAGGACAAAGCGTGTGAGAGAGTGGGACCATTAGGACAAGTTTTGCTTGCTACACAACTGAAAACGTGCTAGGTACAATACAGTTTTTTGTTCGGAATTGTAACGTTAGTATTATAAAGTACTGTAAAGTTTTCTTACTGGTGAATGACATGAAATAGTGGGTTGTCTGATGTCATCTTTAAGGTGCACACGTTTGTGTTTCAGGAGGCAGGGAAGGGACTGTGGCTGCATCCGAAACCACATACTTCACTAAAATCAGTATGCGAGACGAGTAATATGTCCGAATTCATAGAATTCGAAAATCAGTTTGCGAGAAATACCCAGATAACTTACTCCTTCCGGCGAGATTCTGAAGTGCGCTTCCCATGCACGCTGCACTATCCCATGATGCTCCGCGAGAGATTTCATGAATGAGAGTGAAGCGACGCAACTGACGCAGGTAGGTAACGTGACCATGACAAAACGGCGATGTAGTTCGTCCGAATTCCATTCGTACTTAACACATTCATACTGTATAGAACGTACTTTTCTAATGGCCAAGTAGTACTTTAAATTCAAATGCAGCACCTATTGAGTAGTAGGCGGTTTCAGACGCATCCTGTGTTTCAAAGATATTTTGCTAACCCGGTAGCTTTTTGGCAGATCACCTACTGCACCTTTAATAATTTTTGTTCTTGTCCAGTGTCTGTGCTTTTTCTCTCCAAATGTTATGGGCAACAAAAAAAATCTTTGCTTCGGCAACAGACTTTCACATTCCTGTCTCCTCCAATTCTTTTCCATTCCTGAAACAACAGTCTAATTCAATGTTGACAACTTGTGGACAAATCAAGTAGTGCAATAACAATTGAAAGCGCACATGTGATCTGTGTACATTGTTACAAAAATAAGCGTAAGGTACACCCCTACAATTCTGATGACATAATTCACATCTAGGCCACTGTGCACAGACCAATGCATACACATAAAACTGAAGAACTTTTTAAACAGGAGATGTTTTATAAGAGATGTTCTGCAATTTACTGACCTTCCACAAGATATTTTGACAAATCTTGGTTGATGGTCAACAGTTGATGCTCAACAATGACTTCCATAGTAAAGAAAATGAAATGCTACGCAAGCCATTGGAGACCATCAACATCTCTATAATTTAAATGAAAGATAAACATACCTCCAGAACCAAGGCTTCTAAAATAAAAAGAACCCACGGAATAAAGTGCTCTATAACTCTGTTGTCTCTGGCCCAATGTCCTCCCTCAGTGGTCGATCCCGGAGTCTACTTATTCGAGCTTCTGAGATCCTGGAAAGGCCGCCTTCCCTCCAGTGGCCTCCAATGGAGCTACGCAGGGGGAGGAGCCTGTGTCTGAACGGATAGAGGAAGAGGGCGGGGTCAGGCATGGGGCGGGGTTCCTCGGGCCCAAACACCCTCTCGCGGGGCACACATTCCCGAACTCTCTCTGATCTCCGCAGCCTTCCTGAAGATCGGCTCTGATGAGGACTTTCTAGCACACATGAAGAATTAGCAGTCCATTCTGGTTCCTGTAAATGAATAAAAAAAGAAGTCTGATTTATGACTCATGACTGTTTGCGAGTTCAATCCCAGTCAAAAGTTTGGGATCATTTATCTCTTTTGAAAGAAGCCTTTTCCAGCTCACCATAAGAGTGCATGTATTTGATTAAAATATAGTACTGTATATACAGTATATAAATATACACACACACACACACACATAATGCTCTGTATACCACCCCTCACAAATCCCATATCTTTTAAATTCATATTTTTAATAGGAAGTTATACAGTAATATATTTGTGCATATACATTAGATTAGTCAGTACTGAGGCCAAATCTGGAGCTTATCTAACAAAATAACTTACGATAACGGTCCAAAAAGTAGTACTGACAAATGTCCTACTTTCCAACTGCTCATTAACGCACAGGGCAGCAATTCAATGCATTTAGACATGTAGACATGGTCAAGGTGCTCTCCTGCAGCTTGAACCGAGCATCAGTATGGGGAAGGAAGGGGATTTAAGTGACTTTGAATGTGGCATGGTTGTTGGTGCCAGAGGGGGCTGGTCTGAGTATTTCAGAAACTGCTGATCTACTGGGATTCACATGCACAACCTACATGCACAACCATCTCTAGGGTTTACAGAGAATGGTCCAAAAAAGAAAAAATATCCAGTGAGCGGAAGTTCTATAGTTTTGTTTTTATGGATGTGTGTATTACATAATTACATTATAAATATTTATAATAACAACATATATCATATGCTATCATATATCACAATAATCATGGAAAAGGAAACTTTTATTTTAAATGCGATTAAGAGGAAAAACCTTGTTTTGACATTCTTTTAAATCAAATCACAAATTATATCAAGTTATCTCTAATTATAATGTTTGTATGTGTATTTAGGGACATTTTGTCTTGGAAAGTTTACTTAAAATGTACTAATGTTAATTAACTTAAAATTATTAACTTAAAAATTAAAAATGTAACTTGTTTACCAAGTTGCTACATCTAAATATATATTATATATAATAGTTTTAATTACTCATTTCTAATAACTGATTTATTTTATCTTTGCCGTGATGACAGTAAATAATATTTTATTAGAAATTTTCAAGACACTTCTATACAGCTTAAAGTGACATTTAAAGGCTTAACTACAGTAGGTTAATTAGGTTAACTAGACAGGTTAGGGTAATTAAGCGAGTTATTGTATAATGAAGTTTTGTTTTATAGACTATATATAATATAATTATGTATATATGTAATTTATATATGTAATTATTTATTTATGGTTTGTAAATGTTATGTCTGTCCAAATTTTCTGCTAAACTTTGTTACACTTGTTATAAAAAACATGACATTCTGTAAAGCACTGGAATAAAAAGCATGGGACTTCCTCCAAGTGATGTGACTTCCCCTGGTGGGAAACTCCAGAAGGCATTGAGGCATGTCATTATTCTTCCTCTCATTGGTTTGTATAAATGTACAATTGAAGTCAGAATTATCCCCTTTGAATTATCTTTCTTTGTTTAAATATTTCCTAAATTATGTTAAACAGAGCAAGGAAATCTTCACAGTATGTCGGATAATATTTTTGATTTTGGAGAAAGTCTTATTTCTTTTATTTCAGCAAGAATAAAAGCAGTTTTTAATTTTTTAAAAGCCATTTTAGGGTAAAAATATTTAGCCCCTTTAAGCTATACGTATATATTTATGATAGTCTATAAAACAAACCATCAATATACAATAACTTGCTTAATTACCCTAACCTGTCTAGTTAACTTAATTACCCTAGTTAAGCCTTTAAATGTCACTTTAAGCTGTATAGAAGTGTCTTAAAAATATCTATTAAAATATTATGTACTGTCATCATGACAAAGATAAAATAAATCAGTTATTAGAAATGAGTTATTAAAACTATTATGATTAGAAATGTGTGAAAAAAAAAACGGGGACTAATAATTCTGACTTCAACTGTATATACCAATTGTAGATTAATTGACAATTGTCAACTCTTTTACTGTGGTCTTACAGTGAATCATTCACTCTTTAAAAAAAGGATGAAAATTCCATTTAGACATGCCATGTGGTGTCTGCTTTGAAGCTACTATATTGAACTAAAGCACGAAATGGTGGTAAATGTCAACTCTGTTCCCGTCAACTCATTAATGTTTTAAAACGGTAGACAACAATTGAAACAACAATTAGTAACAGAACCAAATGCTCGCCATCATTTTGCATTATTTGACATGAACAATGGATTTGTTTTACTGTAAATCATACATTTGTTGTACATCACTCATACCTGCAGTGTGCCTCCTTCATCCTCATCTTCTTCATCCTCCTCCTCATAGTCTTCAGTCTGGTGATACAATCGAAAGTGTGCAGAATGCAGCTGAAAGGAGAGTTGAGCGGCCACATCGGTCTGCTTGCGGAGGTCCCGACTCAGTGTTGTAATCTTATGACTACGTCGTTTTAGCTCCTCCAGGAAGCGCCGCTCTTCATCTCGAAGACGGACTTGTAGTGCGCTTGCGATTGCTCCTTTTTTCCTCAGCTCTGCCCGCAGCTCCACCAGCGCACTTTCCTGCTCAGCCAGATGCTGCTCTGTTTCCAGTAACCGCACCTGGAGCAGATCTTCCTCCAGCTCTATGTCTGAAAAAACATGTAGAGGAGGAGCGTGGAGTTGGACAGACTGCAATCTTCATATGATTGAATGTGAAATCTTGGAGACTCACCTTCTTGGCTTTTTGCTGGGGGTTTTTCACTGAGATCACAGCTCAGTTCTGTGGAGGTGCACACAGAGATAAAGTAGGATGTTACAGATAACATATTAACAATTGCATGAACATGTTTTAGTTCAGGAGATGTCGTGAAGAAGCGCCTTCTTGAAATAAAGGAGATATAAATTAATGTTTGAAACAAAACAAAGAAAACATAACAACATTCTAATTCAAATGTTTGTTGTCTCCATAATAGTTTATAGTATTAAAAAATTTATTAAAACTGTCAATAATAATAATAACAATGTTATTAAGTAATAATAAATAATTAATGCTGAAACTGATGTTTTACCAGTCAAAGATTTCATTTAAATAACTTTGTTTTTAGAAAATATTACCAAAATATTGACTTTTACCCGGGCGAGGCAGTGGCGCAGAAGGTAGTGCTGTCGCCTCACAGCAAGAAGGTCGCTGGTTCGAACCTCGGCTCAATTGTTGTGTCTGTGTGGAGTTTGCATGTTCTCCCTACATTCGCGTGGGTTTCCTCCGGGTGCTCCGGTTTCCCCCACAGTCCAAAGACATGCGGTACAGGTGAATTGAGTAGGCTAAATTGTCCGTAGTGTATGAGTGAGTGTGAATGTGTGTGTGTGGATGTTTCCCAGAGATGGGTTGCGGCTGGAAAAAAAACTTGCAGGATAAGTTGGCATTGTTGGTTCATTCCGCTGTGGCGGTACCGGATTAATAAAGGGACTAAGCTGACAAGAAAATGAATGAATGAATGACTTTTACCCACAAAAATAGATGATAAAAATGTTGGTGAAAGAGAAACATATTCCTTCAAGATCAAAAGTGTGGTTTAAGCATGCGTTACATTTACCCCAACAAATATTTGTATCAATTTTTAAGTGAATATGGACAATAAATTTTGTGCATTTATACAAAACAGCGTTATTGAACCGTTATCTTCATTAAAATAACAGTGTGCTCTCATAACATCTTTAGTAATAGAAAAAAATACATTTAAATTCAAATGAGGTGTTGCAAAAAACAAACAAAAAAACTTTTTTGTTTATCTGGATTTTATCTCTTTATTAAAATTTATTTGAATATTATTCTCTAACATTAATAGGGTGTTCGTATTTTTTGACTGAGATGTTTAGTTATTTTGTTAAACTAGTATATTATATATATACTGTATACTTATGTATACTTATTTTATTTAGATTTCATTCATTCAGATCTAGGATGTGTTGCTTTAGTGTTCCCTTTATATAGGGATTAGATAGATAGACAGACCAATTGACCGACCGACCGATCGATAGATAATAGATAGATAGATAGGCAGACAGACAGACAGACAGACAGATGATAGATAGAAAGAAAGAAAGAAAGAAAGAAAGAAAGAAAGAAAGAAAGAAAGAAAGAAAGAAAGAACCCAGGGTTGTTATGAAGACGTACTCCTGTTTACATTTCTGGACAGTGCAAAATATGTACCAGGATGTAAGTTTTTTTTTAATTTTAGTTTTTGCGAAAACACTGTACACTTTTTCAGATCTCGAATTTCACTCACGAGTGCCATACACACCTGCTCTTCTCATATAAATCCACCAGAGGCCACTGTCAACTAACTTACCGACTGACTGACCAATTACCCCTTTCCTGAACCCAACCGGTAGTGTTTTTAAAAGCACCGACTGACCTGCCCAACGCTGTTTTTAGCGCACAAAAAACAGGACCCATCGGCGGTGTCATACAGCCCTGCAGCATTCCTTTTAAAGATGAAATGCAGCTATACGTAGCTCTGGCTATTTAATTTGTGCTCTCCAGAAATGTATATAGGGCTACGTTTTCACAATGAGCCTGCGTTGAATAGATAAACATACAATGAATGTTAATATTGTTTAAAACATATAATAAAAGTTGTGAGGTTGAATTAAATGATGAAGGCTTTAAAATAAACTCATAATCCAACCAAAACAAACAAAAAACAAAGAAATTACCTCAATATGTTACAAACCTGTTTAAGTTTATTTTTGAAAACTGCAGACTTTGAATTCTATTTTATTTATTTATTTTTACTACTAATAAGGATGGTTAGCGGTTTCCAACATTCTTTAAAATATTTTCTTATGTGTTTAATAAAGAAAAGAACATCATATAGGTTTGGAACCACATGTAGGTGAGTGAACGGGGAAAAAGTTTTTTAACTTAACTAACTGAAAAGTATAAGGGATTGTATTATGTTTATTGTTTACTGACCATTGCATCGTTTCTTAAGGTTGCGTATCTCCAGCCGCAGACCCGTGAGGAGGATTTGGTGCTCCTCCTGCAAAAACGCTACATTGCGCTCAACACTCTCCACCTGCTGGGCAAGTGTGGATCTATCCATGGAGAGCTCCCTGATGATGCAGGTTTACAGCACCTGCATGCAATGAAAGGGGAAATTGTTAAAAGATGTTTAACTAGTTCAAATTCAATACGGCTTTTTATTCCCAATTATTGGTTTAATAAAATTGGTGGTCTCCCATTTATTTTAAAATGTAATTTTGCTCCAAATAAACTCCCTATAAAATTTGTATTTTTTTCTAATTGGTATGACAGAGATATATTACATTTATTTTCCTTAATTGATGACTTGGGGAACTTTTTTTGGAGTTTATGAAAATTCCTAAATTTCCAATCCCATTAAAGAAATTTAACATTATTGTAAATGCTATCCCAAAAGAATTAATTCATCTAACAAAAAATCATATTTCAAATATAAATAAAAAACCATAGAACCCTCCTTATTATTAGAAGGTATTAGTGTACACAATAAAAAATGCAACAACAAACTTATTCTTCGAATTCTCCAACAAAAAAATCAAATTGCTCCAAGAGGGAAATCATATTAGAAGACATTGATTGGAAAAGAACATGGCTTCTTCCATATAAATACGTAATCCCAAACAAAGCAAAGGAAATCCATTTTAAAATTCTACACAAAATTTACCCGGTCAATGCATTTATCTCAGAATTTACTGATATTGCAATTACTTGTTCTTTCTGTCAGGAAAATGAGGAAACGTTGACTCACAAAAAATCTCACAAAAGTTTAGTTCAGATCTATATAATTATTTGAATAAATCCCAATTAACAAAACAAATCTTTAAACTGAAAGATATTATTTGTTATTAGTCACAAGAATAAAAATGAAGAATATATGTATATAAATAACTTTTTTATATTATATGCAAAATTCTTTATCCACAAACAAAATTTCTTAAATCCTCTCCCTCATTTGCCCATTTTTTAATTGAAATTCATTCCTTGCTTAAAGCTATACGTCTATCTAACAACCAACAATTCTGCAAGTTAATAGAAACCTATGAAAATATCATGCTTCCCATATGTTAGTAATTAATGTTTTCTGTATTTTTAAATTTTATTTAATATTGTACTTCCCCTTTCTTTATTCTGTTCTCTTTTTTTTCTTTCTATTACTTTTTTATTGTTCTTCTTATCACTTTGTAATGGTACATTCTTGTATTCCAGTCTTCTAAAGATTCTTTCCTGATTTATATTGTGTATTTCTTTAAATAAAAGTTTAGAAAAAAAAAGGGAAATTTTTGGTATTGTATGTCTGTAAAAAAACTAATGCACTTTCTTTTTATTTATTTAATTCTTGGATTTATTTAGTTCCAAAGCAAAACATTAATGTAGAGTGCATTGACAATTGCTTACTTTTTCATCAACATTAGTTCAAGTACTCATTAATTAGTTCCTCATTTTATTTTTTAAATGTCTTCATCAGTAATCCATGATGAACAAAAATCAACCAGCTAAAGTGATTCCAACGCAACTTGAGTTAAAACAGAAAATAAAGCGGCAGAAAATTAATAAAGAATGTTAGAAAACAGCCATTTATTTCCAATGTTACATTATTTTTTGGTTTTTACTATGAATGTCAATAGCTGCTTTTTTAACATTCTACAAAATATCTTGTTTTGTGTTTAGCATAAGAAATACATTCATAAAAGTTTAAAACCACCTCAGTTTGATTGGTGAGGAAATGTACATTTTTGGGTAAAATAGTTACTTAGTTTTTAATTTTTACCATTGTATTTTTTTGATGGGGCTTACTGTACATAATGTAGTTTTCACCAGAAACTCCTAGTTTCAGCACACTTTTCGGGGGAACTATCCCTAGTAGCACTTATAGTTATTTGCTTCTTTACAATGAATAACTTTTTTTAATTATTAGTAAGTCGATTGTAATCTAAATGAATAATAGGCCTATTAAATGTAGCTACATTCTCTGTTTTGTGTGGACTTATACAACCATATGTAATTAGTTTTTCTTAAAAGCATTTGTAAATGCTGCTTTCAAATAAACTATATTACATTCTATTTCTGTTATACTGTGCAAAGAGAAATACTTTCGCCATTTTAAAAACAAACAACAGTACTTCAGAAGGCTCGGAATAATTTTCTGGGCTTTAAAATGGCTCATCCCCCTACTTCAGCATCAGGAGACTCCAGTTAAGAATGAGCATTATGTCATTGTTTCATCCGGGATATTCTCTCATCCAGGAAATGCGTAAGGTTGACAGGCGAATGTAAACACGCAATATATGGTTTTGAGCCAAACAAATGTTGGCAAACAACGTCTTTTTCTTGACAGAAAGCACAAAATCTTGCTGTCGATGTCTTAATGATGCTGTATCTTTATGGCACGATGACAACAAAACTAACCGACGCGTATTGATCTTTGGAATGTGTCGTCAAATAACGATTATCTAAATGAATACGACACTCTAAATATTGACAGATGCATCTACTGAATGCTATTAAAACGATATATTATCGGTTATGTTTTCCACACAAGCGCTGCTTTAATTCTGACTTTTTAAAGCACACATCCTATCTGTATCGTGTTGAAATCAGTGCGCCGCGTTTTAAGGTCAATAATCTCAATGACATAAACATGCCGATATTACCTCATGCTTCTCAGAGCTACTTACGATGGGCAGATGAATGATGCAGGACACATCCAGTGCAAAGCATCGCCACCAAATCTCTGCGTCAGGGACACGAAAGGGTTAGTTCACCATCTGCCATATCCATCCCCATCCCAACATCTTATTCATTTGGCCAATGAAGTGGACTGAAGTGACAAAAAGCCCCGAAGTTTCATCTGTTTTAGAAGAATCAGGAATATGTGCGTGTGCTCACACAGCTCATAACAATTCGGACATAGCACATTTAAACTGCAAAAAGAAGAGTACAAAATGTCACTGTTATTAAAGTATGTGTAATGATTTTTGATTATTGTTTATGGTTTGTAAAATATAGGTGTTCTATTTCTTTAATTGTACATTTTTGTTAACTTAATTAATTAGGGTATAATTAAGTTTAATAATTTCCCTGCTGAAAAATCCAGCTTATACCAGCCTAGGCTGGTTGGTTGGTTTTAGCTGGTCAACCAGGCTGGTTTTAGAAGGGTTTTGGCCACTTCCAGGCTGGTTTCCAGCCATTTCCAGCCTGGTTTTAGCTGGTCAGGCTGGGAGATGACCAGCTAAAACCAGCTTGACCTGCCTAGCCAAGCTGGGAGTCCAGCCAAAACCAGCTATATCCAGCTTAAACAAAAAAAAAAATGGCCAAAACCCCTCTAAAACCAGCCAACCAGCCTAGGCTGGTTTAAGCTGGATTTTTTAGCAGGGAAATAATATAAATAATTAAGAAATCAGATTAAAATCCACTTAATCAACAGGAATTGTAGTGTAGGTGCTCCATCGGTCTTCTGAAAGGTTTGATGCAGTTAAATGATCTTTGTTTTCCTGATAAGTCTTTTTATTAATTAGTGTAAAGGCCTTTCTTCCCAATTTGAAACAAAAAGTTGCATTGTACAGGTAAGCATTCTCTAAACCCAGAATAATAAGAGTTAGTTCATCCAAAAAATGAAAATTACCTCATAATTTATTCACCTTACAGAGAGAAAGCACTCACTAGAGTCGTGTTTGGGTTACAGCAAATGATTCCATTCACCTTCACTGAAATGCCTGTGATATAATTAGTAAACTGTTGTTCGTTTGAGGCACAGTCTAAATGGCTCTGCATGACATCAGCAGCAGAAATCCTATTTATAGCTGCAGAATTATCATATGTGTGAGGCTGAACCAAAACAGTCTGAGTATTCCTACACTAACGTTTTTTTTCTCTCCACTTAATCAAATGAGCTTGATTGTTTTATAGCACTACGCCACACCTCTACGCTATTTAGCTGCCCTTTACACTAGTGCAATTTAATTTTAAAATGTTTTTTACAATGAAAGTGTTCCTCATTCTGGCATTTTTTGTGCATTTCAGAAAAACGATACCTGCCTAAAATGCATGATATTCAACCATTCATGCTCACTGGGAATGCACATATTTTGCTGGTACTTGTACTTGTAGTCTAGGCTCAGTGGTTAGCACTGTCATCTTACTGCAAAAAGGTCGCTGATTCGGGTCCCAGCTGGGTCAGTTGGCATTTCTGTGTGGAGTTTGCCTGTTTTCTCCGTGTTCGTGAGGGTTTTATCTGGGTGCTCCGGTTTCCCCCACAGTCCACTTTACAGGTGAATTGAATAAAGTCAAATGGCTGTAGTGTATGAGTGTGATTGTTTATGGATGTTTCCCATTACTGGCAATTTTCCCATTGCCGGTTCATTTTGTTGTGGCGACCCCTGATTATTAAAGAGACTAAGCCGAAAAGAAAATGAATGAATGGATAATATAATATATATATATATATATATATATATATATATATATATATATATATATATATATATATATGACCATATTGTTGTATTTTAATACATTAAATAAATAAAATGTTTTATTGTTGAGCATACCTGCTTTGTACCATAATCTACTATCTTGACTCTTGTCATCCAGCATCTGTAAAGAAGGTGTAATGCTGCCCTCTAGTGGGCTAAACAGAAAACCACTGACAAAACCATTTCTTTCTAATAATTTGAAAAAACAAAAACAACAGATTTACAAGATATATCAAGTTGGATATAACAGAATATATCAAATTGGAAAATAAAAGATAATTATAATAGTAATAAAAACTAGATTTGTGTGCTAAAATAACATATTTAGAGGTGGATTTTTATTTATTTATTGATATTTTTTTAGTTTATTAACTTGTTTTATACAGATTTACATTTACATAAATTTATTCCTGACTTAACTGAACCTAACCTCTACAACTTTGATTCCTATTCATGCTAATTTAAGTATCATTATTAATTGTCATTTAAGTTTCAGTATGCTACTTTTTTGATACATTTTGCCAGCTCTACTGGTTCTCTGGCCTAGTCAAAAACATTTACAAAGTTACAAAGTTCCGTGTTTAATCATATCCATATATCCATATGCCCTGACTAACCAAAACCAGGATAAAGCGGGGAACCGGAGAGTTAGTGCTAGGAAGAACCAGTGAGGTACTGAAGAGTCTGTGTTATGCAGAACCAGAGAGGGCACTGCAGTCTAAGCTAGGCAGAACCAGAGAGGGCACTGCAGTCTGAGCTAGGCAGAACCAGAGGGGGCACTGAATAGCCTATTCTTTGCAGAACCAGGGTGGCACTGGAGAGTCTGTGCCAGGGAGAACCAGTGGGGACATTAGCGGGTCTGTAAAATGCAGCACCAGCGGGTACTGGCGATTCTGTGATAGGCAGAACCAATGGGGCATTGGAGGGTCTGTGGTGAACTGCTGGCAGAACTGGAGTTGTGAGGGGTTGGAGTTGTAGGGGGTATTGGAGTCTGTGCTAGGCAGACTCAGGAGGGGCACTGGAAAGTCTGTTCTATGGGAGAATCAGAGGGGGCACTAGAGAGTCTATGCTAGGGAGAACCAGGAAATCAAGGGCACACCTTACAAATTCTTGCCTTTACATCATATTCTTGTTTATTCTGGATAACACAAAAGAACATAGGGAGGACTGTTGCAGCGTAAAAAAATGTAGCAATGTATTCACTCGCACGCTAATGAATATCATGCAGACTGGGGTACTAGACTAAGTCATTCATTCATTTTCTTTTCGGTTTTGTCCCTTTATTAATCTCGGGTCGCCACAGTGGAATGAACCACCATCTCATCCAGTACATGTTTTACGCAACAGATGCCCTTCCAGCCGCAACCCACTGCGCCACCGCGTCGCCTACTTTAGTATATTTCATATACATAAATATTTTGAAACATGTAACAACAAAACATGCACCTGGATAAGGCAAAATAACATATAATAGGACTCATGCAGCCTAACAACGTGTAGCAACGTATTTACTCCCACTGTAAAAGAAAGAAAAATAACAAACACAACAAAAAGTAATGAAAAACAATCTACAAGCATCTCACATCATAGATCACAATCATACGGTTACATCCTCAGGATTCATTAGTTTAACAAAATATGACACTTATTAAGTCACTGCATACATTTGGGTGACCTACCGCTGTTGAATCTCATGCAGACTGGGGAGAAGCAAAGTGCACACACTGCCCAAATCAATATGGAGACAGGAAACCCCCCATGACAAGTGGAATCACAAAATAATGAATATTTTTACCTTTCTCTTTTGCACCTGCTGTCTGTGCTAGGTGGAACCAGGAGAGGCACTGAAGAGCCTGTGCTAGGCCGAACCAGGAGAGGCACTGGGGAGTCTGTGCTGGCAGAACCGGCGGGGGCATTGGAGGGTCTGTGCTGGCAGACCCAGAAAGGCACTGGAGAGCTTATGTTATGGGAGAACCATATGAGACATTGGAAAATCTGTGCTTTAGCAGAACTGAAGATTTTGTGCTAGGCAGAACCAGGATGGCACTGGAGAGTATGTGCTATGGGACAACTAAAGGGGGCATTAGAGAGTCTGTACTAGGCAGAACCAGGAAAGGCACTGACGAGTCTGCGCTAGGCAGAATGAGAGGGGTACTGGAAAGTCTGCCCTATGAGTGAACCAGAGGGCCACTAGAGAGTCTATGCTAGGCAGAACCAGCTGGAGAGTCAAAGCTAGGGAGAACAAGAAGGGGTACTAAAGAGTAGGAGCTAAGCAGAACCAGCAGGGACACCAGAGACTATGCAAAGTGCTGGGCAAAAAAGATAAAAAGCACTAGAGATTCAGTTCTAGGTAGAACAAGAGAGTGCACTGGAGATTCTGAGCAAGGTAGATGCTTCAGAGGCACTGAAGAGTCTGTGCTAGGCAGAACTAGTAGGGCACAGGAACGTTTGTACTGTGAAAGAAACAGAGGGGCATTGGAAAGGCTGTGCTAGGCAGAGCCAGGGGGCACTAGAGAGTCTGTGCTAGGCAGCACTAGAGGTGGCACTAGAGAGTCTGTGCTAGGCAGCACAGTGGGGGCACTGGATAGTATGTGATAGGCAGAACCAGCAGAGGCACTGGAGAGTTTATTCTAAGGGAGAACTAGATGGGACACTGGGTAATCTGTGCTGTAGCAGAACTGAAGATTCTGTGCTAGGCAGCACCTGCAGGGGCACTAGAGAGTCTGTGCTGGGCAGAACCAGGAGGGTTGTAGAGAGTCCGTGCTATGGGAGAACTATAAAGAGCATTATAGTGTCTGTGCTAGACTGAACGAGGAGAGGCACTCATGATTTTGTGCTAGGCAGAACAAGAGGGGAGAGTGTGAAGAAACTAACAAAACCAACAAGGGCACTTGAGAGTCTAAGCTTTGCAGAACTAAAGGGGACACTAGAAATTCTGTGCTAGGGAGAACCAGTGGTGGTACTGGAGTCTGAGAGTCTGAGCAAGGCAGAAGCTTAAGGGGCACTGAAGAATCTGTGCTAGGCTGAATGTAAAAAGCATTGGAATGTCTGTGCTATTGAAGAAACCGAATGGCACTGGAGAGGCAGTGCTTGGCTGTGCTAGAGGGGCACTAGAAAGTCTGCACTTGGCAGCACAGTGGGGGCACTGCAAAGTCTGTGACTGAAGAAACAGGAGGAGCACTGGAGAGTCTGTGCTATGGGAGAACTAGAGAGCATGTGCTAGGTAGAACCAGCAGGGGCGAATCTATGGGAGAACTAGAGCAGGCACTGAAGAGTCTGGAATAGGTAGAACCATTGGGTGGATTGGTCTGTGCTATGGGAGAATTGGTGGGGGAACTGGAGAGTCTCCGCTAGGCAGAACCAGAAGGGGCAATGAAGAGTCATTGCTCGGCAGAACCAGAGAGGGCACTGCAGTCTGAGCTAGGCAGAACCAGAAGGGGCACTGAATAGTCTATTTTTTGCAAAACCAGGGTGGCACTCAAGAGTCTGTGCCAGGGAGAACCATCTGGAAAATTAGAGGGTCTGTACCAGGCAGCACCAGCGGGTACTGGAGACTCTGTGATAGGCCGAACCAATGGGGTCATTGGAGGGTCTGTGATATGGGAAGCTAGAGAGGGCACTGAAGGTTCTGTGCTAAGTAGCACCTGTAGGGGGACTAGGGAGTATGTGCTAGGCAGAACCAGGAGAGGCACTGGAGAGTCTGTGCTATGGGAAAACAATAAGGGGCACTAGAGAGTCTGTGCTAGGCAGAACCAGAAGAGGCACAGAGGAATCTGTGCTAGGCAGAACAAAAGGGGCACTGGAAAGTCTGTGCTATAGGAAAACCAGAGGGTACACTGGGGAATCTGTGCTATAGCAGAACTATAGAAGGCACTAAAAATTCTGTGATAGGCAGCACCTGCGCGGGCACCAGAGATTCTGAGCTAGGCAGAACCTGAATGAGCATGGGAGAGTCTGTGCTATGAGACTAGTTGGGGCTTTAGAGAGTATGCGCTAGGCAGAACCAGGAGAACCACTAAAGAGGCTGTGCTGGGCAGAATGAGAGGGGCACTGAAAAGTCTGTGCCATGAGAAAACCAGAGGTGAAACTCAACTAGGGACAACCAGCGTTGGTACTAAAGAGTAGGAGCTATGCAGAACCAGCAGGGGCTATGGAGAGCCTAAGCTTGACAAAACCAGAGGGAGCTCTTGAAAACATGTGCTAGGGAGAACCAGTGGTGTTACTGGAGAGAATTTTTCTGTGCTCTCCAAAACCTGGAAGGCACTGGAGAGTCAGAACTTATTAGAACCAGCAGAAGCACTAAAAAGTCAGAGCTTTATGTTTTATGTTTCATTTATGTTCATTTGAGTATCATTATTAAGTTTCATTTAAGTATCAGTAGGCTATTTTTTATACTTTCGCCCAGCTCTACTGGTTCTCTGCTTTAGTCAAAATCATTTACAAAGTTGCAAAGTTCAGTGTTTAATCATATCCATATATCCATATGTTCTGACTAACCAAAACCAGGATGTGTAACTCATATGCACAGGTAAGTGTACAATGCACGGTTTAAACAAGCAAACATTTGTCTACTTGCACTGACCATTTCATTAATTTAAATCAGAATGTGCCATTTAAATAAAAACTCAATATTATTAAAAGAAAGCTTATTTGCAAAATGAAAAAACAAATTTGCTTAAATAAAATTATGATTTTAAACTTTATTTTAGTATTATTGTTAGCATTGTATTGCTATTATTGTAAAGAAAATAAATCATTTTAACTATTGGACATTGGAGGCAGCACCAGAGGGGGTACTGGTGAGTCAAAGCTAGGCAGAACCAGGGTGGCACTGGAAAGTCTGTGCCGGGTAGGACCAGCTGGGAAATTAGAGGGTCTGTACTAGGCGGCACCAGTGGGTACTGGAGGCTCTGTGATAGGCAGAACCAACTGGGGCATTGGAAGGTCTGTGCTGATTAACCCCAGAGGGGCACTATACTGCTGGCAGAACTGGAGGGGAGAGGGGTTGGCATTGTGTGGGGTACTAGAGAGTCTGTGCTAGGCAGAACTAGGAGGGGCACTGGAGACTGGAGAGTCTGTTCTATGGGAGAATTAGAGGGACACTAGACAGTCTGTGCTAGGCAAAACCAGGAAAGGCAGTGGAGAGTCTGTGCTATGGGAGAATTAGAGGGAGACTGGCAGATCCAGCAGAGGGGTACTAGAGAGCCTGTACTGGGCGGAACTAAAAGGGCCACTGGAGAATCTGTTTTATGGGTGAATTAGAGGGACACTGGAGAGACTGTGCTAGGCAGAACCATGAGAGGCACTGGTGAGCCTGTGCTTTGGGAAAACTGTAAGGCACACTAGAGAGTCTGTGATAGGCAGAACCAGAAGAGGCACAGAAGAGTTTGTTCTAGGCAAAACGAAAGGGGCACTGGAAAGTCTGTGCTATGAGAGAACCAGAGAAAGCACTAGAGAGTCTGTGCTAGGCAGAACCAGCGGGGGCATTTGAGGGTTTGTGCAAGGCAGCACAGTGGAGAAACTCGAGAGTCTGTGATAGGCAGAACCAGAAGGGGCACTTGAGAGCCTATGTTAATGCAAACTTGAAGGTGACACTAGAGAGTCTGTGCTAGGCAGAACCAGGAGAGACACTGTAGATTCTGTGCTAGACAGAATAAGAGGGGCACTGGAAATACTGTGCTATGAAAGAACTAGAGCTGCACTGGAGAGAGGGTGTGCTAGGCAGAACCAGGAGGGGCACTGGAGAGTCTTAGGCATAACCAAAGTGCACACTTGAGAGTATGTTCTAGGCAGAACCAGAGAGGGCACTGAAGATTCTGAGATAGGCAGAACCAGTGGGAATACTAAAAAGTCAGAGCTAAGCAGAACATAGAGGTGTACTGGTGAGTCTGTGCTAGCAAGAACCAGGAAGGCCAATGGAGAGTCTGTGCTATGAGAGAACTAGAGGGGGCACTGAAGATTCTGTGAGAGGCAGAAAAAGCAGTAGCACTGGAGACACTGTGCTAGGCAGAGCCAGAGGGGAAAGTTTGTGCTCGACAAAACCAGAGGGGGCATTGGAGAGTCTGTGCTAGGGAAAACCAGAGGTGGCACTGGAGTCTGACCAATTTCTGACTATAAGGAAAGTAGATTAATTTCTTTGTGAGATTAGGCTGAGTTATATCACTCATTAAACCAAATAATTATGCTCTTTACTTGCTGCTCCACAAACAGCGATATTTGAACCATTTATAAATGATGAATCACTGTCTGATATCTGACAATCTAAGATCAGACATAGATATAAACTTTAAGTGTATTACAGTACACTGCAAAAGTGTATTTCTTCTTGCCGTTTATTAATAACTTTGACATCCCAGAATTAGCAAGCATGATCAGCTTAAAGGGTCAGTTTACCCCGAAAATGAAAATTCTATAAACATATCACATTATCAAAAGACGACGAGGCAGTGGCGCAGTAGGTAGTGCTGTCACCTCACAGCAAGAAGGTCGCTGGTTCGAGCCTCGGCTCAGTTGGCGTTTCTGTGTGGAGTTTGCATGTTCTCCCTGCCTTCACGTGGGTTTCCTCTGGGTGCTCCGGTTTCCCCCACAGTCCAAAGACATGTGATACAGGTGAATTGAGTAGGCTAAATTCGATCGTAGTGTATGAGTGTGTGTGTGAATGTGCGTGTGGATGTTTCCCAGAGATGGGTTGCGGCTGGAAGGGCATCCGCTGCGTAAAAACTTGCTGGATAAGTTGGCAGTTCATTCTGCTGTGGCGACCCCGGATTAATAAAGGGACTAAGCCGACAAGAGAATGAATGAATTATCAGACTATGGTGCATGTAAACTACAGGCAATATGATGCTTGTATGTCACGCTGCTTTTAATAAACACAATCTCAGTATGAACTCTTTAAAGTGAATCTATATTAACAGTATCTTGAAGTGAGCACATGAACAGGACTGTTAGCGTTTTAGAGAGAGCTGCAGAGTCACGCAGTTTGCCATCATGTCTATTGTTGCGTGCTGCTTGCTCAGCCGTTCTCTCGTCTCTTGTTATTCTACAACAAATGGCATTGCTCTTTTACAACTGAATACCCTCTATACACTTTACGCAATACCTCTGACTTTTTTCACCTTTTTCCAGCCCAAAACACTGAGTTTGACCCCCGTTTTTTGGAGCAACCAACTTCATGCATGTGTTCGAGTTTCCGAATGATGAAATGTCTAAAGGACAGGTCTGGTCTCCTGGATTATGAACTTATGAACTGATCTTTATGGTCATGACAGCCGTCCAAAGAGTTTGATTATATGACTAAGTTCCACCTAAAGGATAGTGTTTCAAAAATATTTTTTGGAGAAAATACTCTCTACTGATCAGTGATGTCTGCGAAACAATCAGGTAAGCATCTAATAATGTATTATATTTTTAAATTCAGTTCAGAAAAAAAATTCTACTCTCATATACAATATTTAATTAATTGTAAACCATTTTTAAAATAGTTTTATTTATTTTTTATTATTTATTTAAAAGTTATTTTTAAGTGAACTAAAACTATAATCATACAACTAAAATCTTTTTATTCACTTGAAATAAATGAAACATTAAATTAATGAATTAACTTTTTTCATTTTCATTACAGCCGTTTATAAAATAAATATGGATCATTTTCATTTATTTTAAGTTAGAAATAAAATTAATGAAACAGATAAAATATAAAAGAACAACTTTAGAGACTTTTAAGTGTACTACTACTGCTGCTACTACTAATAATAATGACAGAAAACTACAATTATTTTATTTTGAGCCAAATTGTAGACTAAGGTTTCATTTATTGGTGTTTTTTTAAGAAAAAGATTGCAAAAACTGCTAATGTTCATCGCTCTGACAGTCACTATAATGTTGACTTTCATTTGACATTATAATTAGCATGATGGTCTTGAAATAAATGTGTTATGCTTTCCTCCAAGGCATTTATCTTGCTATGTTAATCTACATCATAACGGTTGTGATTTATTGTTAAATACTGGTCATTGTGGTTGTAGGTTTAGAAGCTGGTTTGGATCCAGAAGAAGAAGTGACAAATGTTGTTTGTGATGATGCAGATCTCAGAGATGGAGAGTAGGTTCAACATCAACTCATATCATGTTCATGTGTATTATAGCTTATACATACCTGTTTGTGTCCTGTATGGGTATTTCTGGCATTATTTGGGTCAAAATTATAATTTTTTTTCATGTTCCATGAAGGTATTTTGAATATTCCTACTGTAAAATATCTATTCCTACTGTATTTTTTTAAAAAAAACCTCAGATCCCAGAATTTCAAACCAGACCCAATGTTTTTTTTGTTTTTTTAATAGAAAAATTCACTCATTTTCTTTTCAGTTTAGTCCCTTTATTAAACTGGGGTTGCCACAGCAGAACCAACTTATCCAGCACATGTTTTACGCAGCAGATGCCCTTTCAGCTGCAACCCATCACTAGGAAACATCCATACACTCTCATTCACGCACATAAACTAAGGTCAATTTAACTTACCCAATTCACCTGTACCGCATGTCTATGGAGGAAACCTATGCGAACACGAGGAGAACAAGCAAACTTTACACAGAAATGCTAACTGACCCAGTCGAGGCTCGAACCAGCGACCTTCTTGCTGCTGTGAGGTGATCGTGCTACCCACTGTGATGCCCCTATAGAATTGTAAAATATGTTTTCCTACAACAAACCACATATTAATGAAAAAGTTTTTGATTTATCTTTCAGATTATGTATAAATCTGTTTTTAAATACACCTTTTGTATGACCTGTTTTGTAGTCCAGGATCACATTTATGAGACTTTAATATTTCACAAAATCATCATTCACAGAAACACATTCACAGAAACTGTATTTCGCGGTTGTTGTTTTTTTTTCTGTCTGTTTGTTTTTAAATGTTTTGTACTTCCTGTGAAGGACACTTAAAGTTCAAGATGTCTAAGTGTGTGTTGTTCTTGTGATCCAGGATGATGGAGGTTGAGGTTGGTGATCACAATGTTTTGCTGGTCCGCTGTGACGGAGTGTACAGTGCCATCAGTAACCAGTGCACACACTATGGTGCTCCGTTGAGTGAAGGTAAAGCATTACAAATACGTTTTTTTTTAAGTACACTCAACAGCCACTTTATTATGTAGACCTAACTGATACTGGATTGGAGATATTTTTGGCGGAATTGATTCAACAAGGTGCTGCAAACACTGATTTGAGATTCTGCTCCATATTTAGTTGATAGCATTACACAGTTGATGTAAAGGGATTGCACAATGAAACTGAAATGCCTGGTTTTAGACACAATAATTCATTATGGTATAATGTAAGGCTCCATTTTGCAGCCAGTACAGCACCAGTTTGTCTTGGGAGTGACAGATACAAGTCCTGCACAGTGGCCAGAAGGGTTCTGAAACATTCTTCCTGCATTCCTCTCCAGGCCACTATGTGATGCTGGTGGAGGAAAATGTTTTTTGACTTGCTGCTCCAAATAACCCCAAAGTGGCTCAATAATATTCAGTTCAGGTTTCTGTGCACGCCATGGAAGATGTTCATCTTCCCTTTGATTTTCATCAAACCACCCTCTCACCAGTCTTGCTGTGTGTATTGGTGCATTATTATTCTGATACACGACATACCTTCAGGATGCAATGTTTGTACCAGTGGGTGCACATGGTACTACAGAATGGTTTGCAAAATTTTTATTTATTAATATTAATATTTATTGCACAGTTGGGGGATATTTAACTGTTCATAAGGTAGATGGCCTCAGGGAAAGAAACTTTTCCTGTGTCTGGCTGTTTTTGTGCTTGGTGCTCTGAAGTGCCGACTAGACGGTAATAGTTCAAACAGGTAGTGTGCTGGGTGTGAGGCATCCAGAGTAATTTTGCGCCATTTTACTCGCTCTTGAAGAGTAAGGTTCTTGAAGTGTAGGAAGGGTAGTGCCAGTGATATGTTCAGCAGTCCAGACTATTTGCTGTAGTCTATGGAGGTCGGTTTTGGCAGCTGAGCCAAAAAAGATGGTGATTGAAGTGCAGAGGATGGATTGGATGACAGGTGAGTAGAACTGTACAACATGTTCCTGTGGCAGGTTAAACTTCCTCAGCAGACGAAGGAAGTACAGTCTTTGCTAGGCTTTCTTCACAATAGAGTCTATGTGAATGTCCCACTTCAGATCCTGACAGATGGTGGTGCCCAGGAACCTGAATGACTCTCCTGCAGCCAGAGTGCTGTTCATAATGGTAAGTGGGAGGAGTGCATGGGGGTTTTCTCCTAAAGTTCACCATCATTTTTGAGTGTGTTCAGCTCCAGGTTGTTGTATCTGCACCATAAAGCCAGCCGCTCCACTTCCTGTCTGAATGCAGATTCGTCACCGTTCTGGATGGGGCCAATAACAGTAGTGTCATCTTCAAACTTAATGAGTTTGATGGAGGGGTCTTTTGCGGTGCAGTCGTTGGTGTATTTGGAGAAGAGCAGTGGGGAGAGAACACATCCCTGGGGGGCACCAGTGCTGATGGTGGTGCTGTTGGATGTGATTTTGCCCATTCTGACTAGCTGTTGTTTATCTGTCAGAAAGCTGGTGATCCATTGACAGACAGAGCTTGGAACAGAGAGCTGGGTCAGTTTGTACTTGAGCAGTGATGGGACGATGGTGTTAAAGGCAGAACTGAAGTCCACAAACAGAATCCTTGCGTAGTTCCCTGGTTTGTCCAGATGCTGTAGGGTATAATGCAGTCCCATGTTGACTGCATTATCCACAGACTAGTTTGCTCTATAGGCAAACTGCAGGGGTCCAGTAATGTCCTTCAGATATGCTAGCACCAGTCTTTTGAATGACTTCATGGCCACAAATGTTAAGGCAACAGGTTTGGAGTCCTGTGATCTTTGGCTTCTTCGGGATTGGGATGATGGTGGAGCGTTTAAAGCAGGATGGAACTTTGTGCTGTTTCAGTGATCTATTGAAGATCTGTGAGAAAATGGGAGCCAGCTGGGCAGCGCAGGTTCTCAAACAGGCAGGTGAAACACCGACTGGTCCTGGTGCTTTCATTCAAGTACGGGGGGAGAGGAAGATGGCTGGAGGTGTTGATGGCTGTGAAGGGAGATGATCCGGGCTGTGTTGATGTGATGTTGATGGCTGTGTGGGGAGATGGTCTGGGCTGTGTTGATGTGGTGTTGATGGCTGTGTAGGCAGATGGTCCGGGCTGTGTTGATGTGGTGTTGATGGCTGTGTGGGAAGATGGTCTGGGCTGTGTTGATGTGGTGTTGATGGCTGTGTGGGGAGATGGTCCGGGCTGTGTTGATGTGGTGTTGATGGGTGTGTAGGCAGATGGTCCGGGCTGTGTTGATGTGGTGTTGATGGCTGTGTAGGCAGATGGTCCGGGCTGTGTTGATGTGGTGTTGATGGCTGTGTAGGCAGATGGTCCGGGCTGTGTTGATGTGGTGTTGATGGCTGTGTAGGCAGATGGTCCGGGCTGTGTTGATGTGGTGTTGATGGCTGTGTAGGCAGATGGTCCGGGCTGTGTTGATGTGGTGTTGATGGCTGTGTAGGCAGATGGTCCGGGCTGTGTTGATGTGGTGTTGATGGCTGTGTAGGCAGATGGTCCGGGCTGTGTTGATGTGGTGTTGATGGCTGTGTAGGCAGATGGTCCGGGCTGTGTTGATGTGGTGTTGATGGCTGTGTAGGCAGATGGTCCGGGCTGTGTTGATGTGGTGTTGATGGCTGTGTAGGCAGATGGTCCGGGCTGTGTTGATGTGGTGTTGATGGCTGTGTAGGCAGATGGTCCGGGCTGTGTTGATGTGGTGTTGATGGCTGTGTAGGCAGATGGTCCGGGCTGTGTTGATGTGGTGTTGATGGCTGTGTAGGCAGATGGTCCGGGCTGTGTTGATGTGGTGTTGATGGCTGTGTAGGCAGATGGTCCGGGCTGTGTTGATGTGGTGTTGATGGCTGTGTAGGCAGATGGTCCGGGCTGTGTTGATGTAGTGTTGATGGCTGTGTAGGCAGATGGTCTGGGCTGTGTTGATGTGGTGTTGATGGCTGTCTAGGGAGATGGTTTGGGCGGTTGTGAGGTGTCTGGTCAAATCTACACTAGGACATATTCAGCTCATTTGCAAGATGTTTATCGTTGTCGATGCTGGGGGACGGTAACTTGTAATTAGTAAAACCTTTTAAACCTCTCCACACTGATACAGGGTCGTTAGCTGAAACTGGTTTTGCAGCTGTTTGGCATAGTTTTTTTTTAGCCACACCAATCTCCTTTTTGTCAATGTGTTCCTGGCCTGATTGTACAAAATCCTGTCACCACTCCTGTAGGCATCCTCTTTGGCCTGACGAAGCTGTCTGAGTTTTGGTGTAAACCATGGTTTATCATTGTTAAATGATAATTAAGTCATGGTAGGGATGCATAACTCCTTACAGAAACTGATGTATGATGTTACACTCTCTGTGAGCTCGTCCAGGTCGGTGGCTGCAGCTTCAAAACACTCCAGTCAGTGCATCCAAAACAGGCTTGTAGGGCCTGCTCTGTGTCGGTGGTCCATCTCTTAACAGTCTCTAATACTGGCTTAGTAGTTTTAAGTCTTTGCCTGTAAGTTGGTATAAGATGAACCAGGCAGTGGTCGGAGAGTCCTAGAGCTGCTCTGGCGACGGAGCGATATGCATCCTTTATTGTGGTGTAGCAATAGTCCAAAATGTTATTGTCTCTGATGGGGCATGTAATGTCCTGTTTGAATTTAGGCAGCTCATGTGTGAGTTTTGCCTGATTAAAGTCACCAAGTATAATAAAACAGAGTCTGGGTGTTGTTGTTCTGTCTCTGTGATTAGATCAGCAGCGCAGTAATCACGTGTGCTTGCATAGGAATGTAAACAAAGACGAGAATGAACGAGGAAAACTTTCTTGGTGAATAAAACGGCTTACAGTTAATGAAGAGCACTTTTCATTACAGTTAATGAAAGTTTCACTTTAGTCATGCGACTGTTTGCTTGTACACTTTTTTGGGGCTTCTCCAAACCATAACTCTCCCAGATTTGGGAAAGGCTGTGAAGGTGGACTTATCAGAGAACAATAAATGTTTCAAATTGTCCACAGTCCAAGATTTTCGTTGGTGGCACCATTGAAAGCAACTTTTGGCATTGAGCGTTGAGGTGCACATTTAATTCTGCAGTGAGTTGGGAAGCTGTAGTTTTGTTTTTGCATTCAATCTGGATTAGCACCCGGATATCCCTTTCAGACAGCTTCCTCTTGGGTCCACTACAATGTGGTTCGTTCCTTCTTGGTGTTATGCTGACATTACCCTGAATATCGTGGCTCTTGATACACCAACAAGACTTGCTGTCATGGTCACAGATGCGCCAACAAGACACGCACAAACAATTTGTCCTCTTTTGAACTCTGATATGTCACCCATGATGTTGTGCTCATTGCAATATTTTGAGCAAAACTGTGATATTACTCTGCTAATTAAACCTTCACACTCTGCTCTTAGTGGTGGAACCGTTTCACCATTACGCCACACTCAACCTGAACTATTAATGCAAGGACTGATTGATGTTAAGCTGTTTATAACACATTGAGATTGCAGGCACATCCAGGGCCGGAGCAAGCTGAACTGCCGCTCTAGGCAGAGGACGATCACGCCGCCCTCAACCCCAATGTGAAAACGAAAGTGACCGGTTATGAAAATGAAGTGAGGTGTCACGGACCTCTTTTCCGGTGCTCTATGCGCGGATATAACTGAGGACGCGCGGGTGCTGAGGGAGGGAGGGAGGTGTCGCGGACTGGCGGACACCGCCCTCTCTATTCTGCCGCCCTATGCGTGGATATAACTGAGGATGCGCGGGTGTCGCAGACCTCAATTCTGAGATATGCTGAGTGAGGGAGGGAGGTGTCGCGGACACTGCGCTCTTTATTCTGCCGCCCTATGTGCGGATATAACTGAGGATGCGCGGGTGTCGCAGACCTCAATTCTGCCGCCCTATGCGCGGATATAACTGAGGACACGCGGGTGCTGATGGAGGTGACGCTGACGCCGCCCTCTCTATTCTATCGTCTATGCGCGAATATATCTGAGGACGCGGGGGAGGTGTCGCAGACATCGCCCTCTCTATACCGCCCTAGGCGGCCACCTAGGTCGCCTCTATGGACGCGCCGGCCCTGGGCACATCTCAAGCATTTTACATTCATTTTCTTTCATTTATTTGGAATTATTAACAACAAATGTGTAATTTCCAGAAAACTGAATCCCTTATTAATGTAGAACAATCCAAAATGTATAATAGGGAACATTTGATTCTGTTACTAATTGTTGTTTAACTTTTTGCCAAACTTTATAAACCACTAACAGAGTCGACATTTTCCACCATTTTGTGTTGCATGCACACAGATTGTCATGCCTTTTTATAACCAATGTACCAGAGTTGACCAGAGTGTTTATGAACATATACTAAATGCGTCATTTTTATAACAGAAATTACAAATAATACAGAAAATATATGTTTCAAGACTTAGTCAAGACTAAGATATGTTTCAAATCTTTTACTGTTCCGTGTGTTTTCCTGAGCCCACATGAACTGTAGCCTCTGCTTCAATATTTGATGTGATGTGTGTTCAAAGATGCTCTTCTGCAGTCCTAAGTTGTAATCAGTGTTTATTTGAGTCTGTTGGGCCCAATCCCAATTTATTTTCATACCCCTTCCCCTTGGCCCTTACAACCGAAGGTTAAGGGGAAGGGCTTCAAAATTTACCCCAAAGAATTGGGACAGCACTATACCACCTGCACACGTCATCATATATCCTCGTGATCTGATGCTTCATGTGAGATCTGACGATCGCGACTGCTGTAGTTATTCCAGTTGTGCTATTTATTGGTATTTATCTTAAGTAAATCACTGAAGGCATATAGTATGTTATCATAAGGATCTAATGTGGCAACAAGATCGTAACTTTACTGTGTATTTACACCGTGGCCATATTCATCAATGTAAACACACTAAAAATAACATTAACATTATAGCAGACACTGTAAAAAGCCTATTAACAGCCACTAGACATTACTGACAGGCTATTCAAGTGTCAGAATGCAGTGGGACTGCTGTACAGGAGTTATTAATAGGGATTATAGATCGCAAAATTTAGCATTTTTCCAAAAAGCATGACGGTAAAACACGAAAGCAGTAATGAATATATTAAAAACACATGTTTGTTTGTCGTAAAGGTTTGTAATAATGACAAAAAATACTAATTTGTGGATCTCATTACTTCCGGGTTCAGCAATACTGCCTTTGTGGCAAGTGTATTCTGGGAAATTTTCTTACCCCTTGGTTTCAAGTGTGGTCCTGAAAAATCTTCGTTCAAAGGGTTATTCCCTCCTTCCCCTTAGCCCTACGCCTTCAAGCTAAAGAGAATTGGGACACCCCTACCTCTTGGCGTGCGCGCGCAAAACAAGGGGTAGGGGTAAGGGGAAGGGCTAAGAGGTAGAATTGGGATTGGGCCTTAGTCTGTTCGTTCTCTTCTGACCACTGGCATCAAGGCATTTCATCCACAGAATTGCCATTTACTGGATATTTTCTCTTTTTGGATCTTTCTTTGTAATGGTTGTGCATGAAAATGTCAGTAAATCAGCAGCGTCCGAAATACTCAGTGCAGCCCATCTAGCACCAACAACCATCCGTGATGCATTTGAAGTCATTTAAATCACCTTTCTGTCTCATTCCGATGATCAGTTTGAACTTCAGCAGATCTGCATGACCACATAAACATGCATAAATTCATCGAGTTGCTGCCCTGTGATTGGCTGATTACATTCTTGAACATATCTAATAAATTGGCTGGTGAGTGTAAATGTGCATTCCAGGGTTGACATATTTGGTTGTCCTGGAACATCTTTCCTGTCTGAAAATAGGCTATTGCTAAAATCAGAGAAAAATAAGAAGGATACAGAAGCAGCCAATTCTGACTGCAAGCCCTCAAATCTGATTGGTTGGGTTGAATTTTGTACCTGAATCAACAAATATGCGGATCTAGTAACATGCAAATCAGGTTCTGCCAATGTCAAGCTTGGTGCCACTGATATCTACTGTATCTTCACAGAGAATAAACACAAGAAGTACAGCGCTGCTGAAAAAGTGATCATGTGTGTGCTTTGCAGGGGTGCTGTCGGGTTGTAGGGTGCGCTGTCCCTGGCATGGGTCCTGTTTTAATGTGAAGACTGGAGACCTGGAGGAGTATCCTGGGATTGACTGTCTGCCCTGCCACAAGGTACTGTCAAAAATTGGCTGAATTATTTCATACAGAGCTGTAATGCTGAAAATTAATAATTTATTTTAACATTACATGCATGTGTCATTTATATAAAATTATTAGCTCTCATGTGATTTTTATATGTATTTTTATTCCTAAGTCATAGCACTTTTGATAACTTATGTTTAATAATTAATTAATTTTGACTTGACATGATGACAGTACATACAAATTTTACAATTTCAAATTCAATTTCAATTTTTTCAAATTCAATTTCAAAAAGCTTAACTAAGTCATTCTTAAAAAGTTATTATTTTTTTAAAAGAAATATTGTGTAAAATATATAATAGATTATATAGATACAGTTGAAGTCAGAATTATCATATTTGAAATGTTCTTTCTTTTTTAAATATTTCCCAAATGATGTTTAACAGAGCAAGGAAATTTTCACAGTATGCCTGACAATATTTTTTCTTCTGGATAAAGTCTTATTTGTTTTATTTTGGCAACAAATGGGTTTCAATTTATTAAAAAAAAACATTTTAATGTCAATATTATTAGCCCCTTTAAGCTACATTTTTTTTTTTACGATAGAACAAACCATCATTAAACAATAACTTGCCTAATTACCCTAACCTGTCTAGTTAACCTAATTAAGCTCTTAAATGGCAGTTTAAGCGGTATAGAAATGTATTGTAAAACATCATCACATAGTCATCATAGCAAAGATAAAAGAAGTTAGTTATTATTTTAGTTTTTAAAACTATTATGTTTAAAAATCTGTTAAAAAAAAATCTGCTCTCCATTAAACAGAAATAGGGGGAAAAAATAAACAGGGGGCCTAATAATTCTGACTTCAAGTGTATATATATATATATATATATATATATATATATATATATATATATATATATACAGGGCTTAACATTAACTTTTTTGACCACCAGCCGATGTGGCTAGTAGTTTTCCAACATTACTAGCCACTCGCCATTTCAACTAGCCACAATTTTATTGTTGGGAAAATATATTTTCTACACATAAATATGACTTTGACATGCTAAAATTACTTGATTTAGAGTTTGCGTTATCTCTACATGCCTCCTCATTCATTTCCCTTTTTGTGTGTCGTGTATGAGCTTGCTCAATAATCATGAGCAAATGGGTCAGGTATATTACAATTATGTGTGTGTGTATATATATATCTTTGTGTTCTAATAATAATTAAAACAATAATACATGATGTTAGAATTTAGGAGAGATGTTTCCACAAAGATATCAAAGTTTACAAAAAGTTATTCAGAATTAATAATATTCAGAATCATCATGAGCACCAACATGTTTTTTTCTTGTGGATCTTGTGACACTGAAAACACTTTTGCAGCTTTGGTTTTGGTGAGCATAAGAGACATCAGAAGTTTCAAAATCATAATTAATCCAAACATTTGACCCATAGAATGTTTAGTCTCATTCTCATCTGACTTTCAATTTAGACATTCTCATCTGACTTCATCATGTTTCATCTTGACAGGTGAAAGTCGAAAACAACAAAGTGTATGTGTCTGTAAAGAAAAGGGTAAAGTACTTTCATATGTGCATTTTATCCTCTATATTAAAAGACAAAATCAAACTATGAGAGCTGTCGAATGTGGAAAACTCTTTCTGTGCAGATTCGGGGTCAGCCTAAACGTGTAAAATGGATGGGAGTCCGAGATCAGTCGGTGTCACATACTGTGATGCTCCTCGGAGGAGGTGAGAGAAACATATCTGACATAGAGTCATTTATTTTCTGTGTAATGTTTAACGTGTGTGCGTGTTGGTATGATGTTGAGCACAGGCGCAGCCTGCTTAATGTGTGCTGAGACGCTACGGCAAGAAAACTATGGCGGCAGGATTATTATGGTTTCTAGAGACGACCTCCTTCCATATGACAAAACCAGACTCAGTAAGGTGAGCCACAACATCTGGGAAATATTGTTTATTATATTGTATTCACTAAAGAAAAATATGTTCAAAAATGGGCTAAGTTTTAAAAATTGATGCAATACAAAAACCTTTTCCTAAAATGTTTGTGATTCAGATGTTCATTGTGACCATTTCTTAAAAATGCATTGAATTTTTTTTTTGTTTACAATAAGTGATTATTGTACGTAATACTTAAGCCCTTAACTGTCACGCCACATTTTGAGTTCACATTTGAATGTTACTGATGATATAAGCAGGCGAATCAAAAGTACACACGAAGCAGTGGCGCAGTAGGTAGTGCTGTCGCCTCACAGCAAGAAGGTCGCTGATTCGAGCCTCGGCTCAGTTGGTGTTTCTGTGTGGAGTTTGCATGTTCTGCGTGCCTGTGGGTTTTTCTCTGGATGCTCCGGTTTCCCCCACAGTCCAAAGACATGCGGTACAGGTGAATTGGTTAGGCTAAATTGTCCGTAGTGTATGAGTGTGTGTGGATGTTTCCCAGAGATGGGTTGCGGCTTGGAAGGGCATCCGCTGCGTAAAAACTTGCTGGATAAGTTGGCAGTTCATTCCTTTGTGGCGACCCCGGATTAATAAAGGGACTAAGCTGACAAGAAAATGAATAAATGATGATATAAGCATATTTTATATTGATATATTCATGTAGATAAAGCCACTAACAAGCAATATGACAAGTTTAAAAATGATTGCAAATCATGCCCTTATTATCATAATTTGTGTCAAAAATAACAAAGGTTGTTGTTTTGCTGCCTCCTAATGTTCATTTCACCAAGAATCTGCAGAGAAATGCATGTAGATGCATGTATATACGCTATTGTGGTTATGTCATGTCTGCAATGGGCCTGTATTGCAAAAAGAGCATACTTTATACTACATGATTAGCTTTGCATTATACTGTAATAAAGTACACACTTCTGTACACAGTACTCTATTTGTAAAAGACTAAGTACTGTAGTTTGAGTCAAAAGTTGTATTACACATACTCAAAATCAAAACACAGTTGCTGCTATAATACAGTTTAAATATACAGTTTAGCTTACTTAAGTACTATTAAAGCAAAACAGCTTTGACCGAAGTGCTCTAAAAAATTAATAATGATACTTTTACTTGAGTATAATTTTTCAGTACTTTTTCCACCACTGCTCCACATTCAGTAGTGATCTGCATTTATGTGTTATGTGTTATGAATTTATAAATTGTTATAAATTTATATTTATAATTTTAAAGCACTTATCATAGTGCTTAAAAATGTGGTGTGCTGCAACTAATGTTATTGCTGTTTGGGAAGGCTAATTTTTATTTTATTTTTTACAGATTTTTTGTTGGATATGGGTAAAATATAGCACTACTAATAGTTTAATAAAATGTATTTGACTTTTAGAAATCACCAGGCGACCCCCACTCAATGTTGTGTGACCCCCCAGGGGGTCCGACCCCCACTTGGGGAACCACTACTCTATAATACCTGCCTATTCCTCAACGCATGTGGAATTATAGTTGATTACTTATATTCTAGAATGGCCAACCTTAAGTGGTTAAGATAAAATTTGTAATGTATAGTTGGATCTTGGATAATAAACATTTTTAATTTTCTATTTTGCATTAATTTAGGAGTATACTCACATAACAATTATTTAAGTCATAAATAAATAAGCTTAGTTGGTTTTGTCAAAATGTACTATTATTTTTAATGTTTCATTGTTTTCAAAGAAATATATTATGTAGAACTGT